AATAAATTGATGTTTAGAGTGAATAAACCTTCTTTAATAAAAGATCTGCATTTGGTTCTATTAGAACCCGGGAGCGCTATCTGTCAATGATCGCCTTAAATCAAGTTTAAGTATAAAAATCAAGTTCAAGACCGAAATTCCACACAAGGGCTCATCCATTGTCAGTTTACTCTCATGCTGAGGGCGTAGCTCTTAGGTATCCAGGCCTACTAATGGGAAAGTCTTCTGTGAGCTTCTCACTTTGCTGGGCTTTGATTTCTCTCTTCATTATATAAACCAACAAAATGGAAGTTCAAATTTTCCAGAATTCCAAATGTTCCCAGGGAAAAAGTAGATTTTGTGTTTTTTTTATCCCTCTAGGTTTCCTGTTCACATTAACTTTGACCTGACAATATATTAGTGTCTTAATAGTTACTTTCAGTAAAAGCATTGGTCTACACAATTTATGTGATCCTTATTAAAAATATGAAGTCTCAGGGATATTATTAAACCTCAAAATTACTTGTGTAAGTTCTTAGCTTTCATCGTGTATGGACAATTGGTCTTTTTGAGAGGCTAAAGAAATAATATGTATTTTTAACCAACTTCAACTGACCAATACTAAATCAATTCTATAATGATGTAATCAATTTAAATAACTCTTGGAAGAGACAACTTCTATCATTGATATTGATATTAGTTCCCATTTCTTTCTGCACCACTTATTCCTCTGTATATACACAAATATTTTCTTTTCTATGTCCTCTCTTTCTTCCTCTTTTATAGTTGTTTATTTCTACAAATATAAGATACCATGAACTGTGTGTGTGTGTGTGTGTGTGTGTGTGTGTGTGTGTATCACTGTACTATAAATCTCAGTCTCTTTTTTTTTTCTTTTAAAACATTTGGGATTTATCCATGTGGTTGCATACCTAGTTCACTCCTTTCGATCACTGTATAATAATCCTTTACCAACATGTTACACATTTTATTCATCAATTGCTTTACCGATGGCTATGTCGGTAGATTACTATTCTTTGCTTTCCCAAGAACATTCTTATACACATCATTTTATAAAGCTGTGTAAGAGTTTCCTAGCATATTATATAGCCCAAAGTGGAATTGCTTGATCATAGGGTATGCACATGTTAAGTTTCACTAAATACTGTCAGAAAGCTCTCTACATAGTCTGTACATGTGATTTCCTATTAATCCAAGTGATATTTTTATACCCCCTATATCATGATCAAGTTCTATTAAAAGGTCTGACCATGGATTCTATTCTATCTGGTAGTCTGTGAATCTGTTCCTGAATCATCCAAATAGATTTATTATACTTACTTTAGATTTGTAATATGTACTAATATTTATAATGTAAAGCATTCACCTATTTTTCTTTTTAGGCATTCCCCCATTTTTCTTTCTAAAAATTATTTTAGCTCTTTGTGAAACTTTATCTTCCATACTAATATTAGGAACTCTTTGTAGATCTTTACCTACTTATCATGGATTTCATTGGGATTGTGTTGAATTTATAAATTATTCTGGGAAGAATACACCTTTATTGTGTTAAGTTGTTCTATCAAGAAAACAGTATCTTTCTCAAATTCTTCAGACATTTAATTATTTTATTTATTGTTTTATTTACATTATTTTTTAAATAAAGGTTTTCTGCCTTCTTTTTTAGGCTAATTCCTAGAAACATTGTATTTTCATTCCTATTTTAAAATTTCA